TGAAAACTGATAAAGACTTCCTTTTAAGTTGCCTGCCTGCGTTTGTTAACGAGCCGGGAAGGGGGGGACAGAACACTGATCTATCTTTGTAAGCCCACCTTAACTAAGATATGGCTATTGAACCAAACCAAGTCAACAGAAGGACAAACTGTATCATATGACTAAATGTACCCTGATCCATTGTATTGTGTTGAAAGCCAGGCTTTCTAAAACAATCTCTGACTCACCCAACAAACATGAAAAAGTGTTATCTGTTGAATTAGATTTAACAAACTTACTTAATATTCTGTGGAACTCTTAGCCATTGATTTATAAATATAGGATATGCCAATTCTTTACAGAGTTCTTGCAGAAATTCTTTTCAATGTTTTTCCCTCTCCCAATTCTTGTGAACCTTCACATCTCTCGTCACATTATCATGATTTCTCTGTTTCAAATACTCTTTGATCGTTACTTCAATGATGAATGTAAAAGTCGTTCCCTAATAACAGCTTCCTGTTTATACACACAGACACCACCGATACTTAACTATAATCTAGCAGTCATTATTTTGTTTTGGAAATTCGACAAATACATTCACAATAAAAAATTTACAAGGGATTTGAGCCTGCTGTTCTCTCACCGTTTTAGATCTCCAACATCGGCAGTATACTGCTTTCTCTCCCAAATCTTCCATATCGAATGCATGAACTACTTTGGGATTATCTTTCTGAATGTGGAGGTTCACCATTCCACTGCAACCTTTGCCCTTGCTAAAATACTTTTTGTAAGCGAAATACCCAACAGCTGCTGTTCCCGCAGCAAAAGCGACCGCAGCAATCCATTCAACTGAAAGAGAAAAATAGAAAACCAGTCAAAATTTTCATAGATACAACCTGACTTTGAAAATCAAGAATTGCAAGGTGTTTTTCTGTTGGTTTTCTTAGATATGCTTCGTGGAGTGCCCGTCTGTCTTTTCATAGGTTTTCCCTTTTCTCTCCAAAAACTGTCCAATTCTCTGCATGCCCCCCCCTCCCCCAAACATGCATTATCTCTTAAGTTTGTTTAGAACGGTGTTTCTCAACCTTGGCAACTTGAAGATGTCTGGACTTCAACTCCCAGAATTCCCCAGCCCAGCGAATGCAGTTCGATCCGTGCCCCATCGTCTCCGCCCAGCTCCACAGGCGCTCTACTCTCTCCAAGCAAAGGACACGCGAGGTTGTGCCCAGAGGACGAGCTGCGCCTGCGCGCGAAGGTCCCGAACATGGCGGCGAGGGAGGATCCTCTGCTCTTAAAGGGCCAGCTGAGCCCTAACCAATTGAAATCTCTCTCTGACACGCACGCGCGCACGCGGAAAGAGATGCTAAGCTATGGTTTGTTTGGTCCCCGAATAAACCACAGTTAGCAGAGCGCCTTAAAACAAATTAAACGGTCAACTTTGACTCACTAGAGCGGTGTTTCTCAACCTTGGCCACTTGAAGATGTCCGGACTTCAACTCCCAGAATTTCTCAGCCAGCGAATGCTGGCTGGGGAATTCTGGGGGTTGAAGTCCAGACATCTTCAAGTTGCTAAGGTTGAGAAACACTGCTCTAGTGAGTCAAAGTTGACTGTTTAATTTGTTTTAAGGCGCTCTGCTAACTGTGGTTTATTCGGGGACCAAACAAACCATAGCTTAGCATGTCTTTCCGCGTGTGCGCGCGTGTGTGTCAGAGAGAGATTTCAATTGGTTAGGGCTCAGCTGGCCCTTTAAGAGCAGAGGACCCACCCTCGCCGCCATGTTCGGGACCTTCGCGCGCAGGCGCAGCTCGCCCTCTGGGCACAACCTCGCGTGTCCTTTGCTTGGAGAGAGCAGAGCGCCTGTGGAGCCGGGCGGAGACGATGGGACACGGGTCGAACTGCTCCGTGAGGGGTAAGAGCGCGCAGGGAAAGCGGTGTCTGTGTGAGGAGGAGGAGGCAGCCTCGTGTCGTTTTAATGGAGGGGGGGGGGGGGGGGGGG